CATTAGGGAGCTGCCTGGGTGACCCACGCCTGGACCCTGGGGGTAGCTGAGGAAGGGGTGGGAAGTGAGAAGGTTCTGGAAATATCTTGAAGCTAGAGCCACAGGACATCAGATGAACTGGATGAGAGGTGAGGGAGAAAGGGAAGAGTCAGGGATGACCCCAAGCTTCAGGCCTGAGCAGCTGGAAGGATTGAGGTGCAACTACCTGAGATGGCACAGGCTGCAGAAGCGGCAGGTGTTTTGGGGGGAGGATCAGGACTCAGCTTTAGACGCGCTGAAGTGGACAGCCCTTAGACATCCCAGTGGAAATGGTGAGAAGAGGTGGGTACACGAGTCTGGAAGCTCCTCTGCGAGGAGGCCCAGGCAGAAGGCAGCCATCCCAGTGTCGTCAGCATGGAGACCGTACCCGACGCCCTGAGACTAGAGATCACATGAGTGAGAACATGAAGAATAGATAGAGGAGCTGGGCCGGGCCTGCCAACGCAAAGAAATCCAGGAGATGTGGAGCCTGCAGCCAAGGAGACTGAGAAGGAACAGCCAGAGGGGTGACATCCTGGAGGAGACAAAGATCATCTCTGAAAGGTCACAGGCCCGAGAACTAGCCACTGCACTAGCCACAGGGGTCACTGGTGATGACATGAGCGATATGGTGGCGAGTCTGGAGTGGAATCGGGAGGCAACCTGGAGGCAGCACCTTTGCAGCACCTGTCTTTCACCCTAACTATGCCATGTGGCCATTCACTGCTGACAGCCAGGGCCAAGGTATAGGCAATGCCAATGAGCCAGACCAGACACCGAGTCCTTGATCTGCCCTTGCTCTACCCCACCCAAGCCAGGCTCTGCTGCCAACGACTGATGTGCATGTCTGGAGCAAGACACCCAGGGACAAGGGGGCCCTGAGCATTAACAGCCCAGGGTGGTGGGAGGACAGAGCTACTTAATGACTTCATTTTGCTGCTGTCTCCCCTGGCTGGGAGATGGTCTTCAGAAAGAACATCACGCAGAGGGAATTGGAACCTGAGATAGGTGAGGAGATAGTAACAGAACAAGCAGCCTCCGCGAGGGTTTCAGATGGCCGCGCTGTGCCCTCCCATTCCGCTCCTGGGCACGGGGCCACGGCCCGCTGTCAGGATGGACGTCCTATTCTTTAACCCGGGAGAGCAGTCACAGAAACTACATACTGACGCAGCCGAACTCTACTTCCGATTCGTAAAAGGAATCTTAAAAATGAACTAATTACAACACTGAGGACACTGCCTTGAGCACTCAGTAAACATCATTATAATAATACTAGAGCCGCAGTGCACGATATTTGTGCACTGGGGGGGGGGGGGGGCCTCAGCCCAGCCTGCACCCTTTCACAGTCCGGGACCCCTCAGGGCCGACAGTTGGACAGCCCCTGAGGGGACCTTAGCACTGCCTCAGAGGCAGGAGAAGCTCCTGCCACTGCCTCTGTGCTCGCCAGCTATGAGCCCCCCACTCAAGGAGTGCACTGACCACCAGCGGGTAGCTCTGGCGTTGAGCGTCTGCCCCCTGGTGGTCAGTGCGTGTCATAGTGACTGGTCATTCCGCCATTCAGTCAATTTGCATATTAGGATTTTATTATATAGGATATGCTCCACATATATATTGTACATCATATGTTCTGTTGTTATTTTTCTAGAAGGCTTCAGTGGTCATTCAATGGGCAGGAGTGCCAGGGAAACAGGTTTCATGTGAGTATCAGGAAGAACTTTTCGTTCTCAGAACTAACCCACAAAAAGGAGCTGCCTCATAAGATGATGACTCCCCACCACTGGGTGTCCAGGCAGAAGGGGATGATCAGCCCCAGAGCAGGGAGTCTGGTCTGCCCACATCACTGACCGCCTCCTCCCGTGAGCTGACATTTTCTGACTGGCTTGGGCTATGCTGCTGGCCATTGGTATTGACCACCCCCCTGGACCCAGCTCATCCATGTGCTTGTCTGTCCCCCCTGCAAGCCCGTGGCTGGCAGGGCAGCCCTTCCAGCCATCCCTGGCCACACACAGCCTATCCTTCCAGGTGGGGAGACTTTGGAGTTAACAGTATCATATGTAAATACACCAACAATCCAGAGATGGGGCTATTCCATCCCCATTTTGCAGATTGGAACACTGAGCTTCAGAAAGCAAAGGTTAGTGAGAGCCAAAGCTCAAAGTCGCATCTCTAGGCCACCCCATTCCACATGGCAGGCAAAGGGCCAGTCCCCTGGACAAGATGTTTCAACCCTCACTCTCACCCTGGCCACTGCGGGTCAGAGGCCTGCACCCTGCCACATCCACGTGAGTCCACATCCACCCTCTGAATGGCCCAGGGCCATCCATGTAGCTGACAGCACCCAGTGCAGTTCTCCAGGCCTGTCTCCTCTAAGGACCCAGAGACATTGGGGCCAGCTGGGCCGCCAAGACCAAGGCCAATGGGTCCATCTTTTCAATGCCCTCTCACTGGTGAGATGGGAAGGTAGAGGCCCAAAGAGGGGCAGTGCTGTGCCCAAGGCCACACAGCAGGGAACAGAAGAAACCAGGCTCATGACTTTCAGGCCAGAGCTGCGCTGCGCTGCCCTCTGCTGATGCAAAAAGTAGGGAGGGGCCAGGAGGCTGCTGGGTCAGCTCAGGACCCAGCTCCTGACAGGAGAGATGAGTAGAGCTGTCTTCAGCTCACTGAGTCCTCTCTCTCTCCTACAGCCCCCTAGAGTCATGATCGACCCCCACTGCACAGACGGACGCCATGCTGCGACTGCCAAGTGTAGCCTTCATGGGCTGAGTCCTGGGAGTCGCTCCTGGAGGCCAATCGATGCTGGCATTTGCAGAAGACGATCCAGAGCCTGAGTCAAAGGTGCTAGATTGGGACCTGCTGGGGGTTTCCTTGTCACTTGCCAGCACTGGCCAAACAACGTCCACCCCACTCCACCCATCACCCTCCCTGCACCACGGGCCTCTGAGGACCCCACCTTCAGGCCTGAGCAGGGCAATGTGGAGTCACAGAGGAGGTGATGAAGCCGGCATGGCTCACCTGAGAGGGGCCTTCACCTCCCCTGGCCAGCAGCTCTGGTCGGTCAGTGGCTGGCCACACCTCTGCCTCAGTGACCCACCTGTCCTAAGCATATTCTCTCCACAACAAAGGGCTCTCCAGGAGGATGAGGTTAACAAACAAAATACTTAAGAAAATCAGCCACAGGAAATAGTGTGTGAAGGAATGAGAAGGGACTCTTTCAGAACTCTGCTCAACTGTCACCGCCTCCCAAAAATCTCTTCCGCAGCCTCCCGCCTCTGCCCTACCCCCGAGACACCACCCTCCTCCTTCAATCACGCACTGGCACTCAGCCACATACCCAGCTCAGCCCCTATTGCCCATGGCACCGATTTCTTTAGCCCTCTCTGGGCCCACGGCACCCAGGTCTGGCACCTATCTATCTGATGAACTGATGAATGAACCGAAAAAGGGAGAGCCCCTATAGTGACAAATGCTGCTCACATTCACTTGGCCACCTACACACGTGTGGCCTGGGCGCCTACTCTGCTGGCTCCGTGCCAGCCCATGCCAGGCCTGAGTGTGGGGAGGAGCCACAGATGAATCCAGGAGCCCACAGACATCCCCGATCCAAGCCAGAGGGGAGGAAACAGCTCGGCAAGGTCTCCAAGGGGCTAGCAGGAACCTTCTCCAGTCCCTAGAAGTGGGCAAAGCCTCTGGAAGAACATTCCAGAGAGGCAGGCAACCACTTCCCTAGGTAGCCTTTCAAACACCCAGATACCCAAACCTGAGTCCCCAGATTCAGCCTCACAGTGGGATCTGTCGGGGCTGCCAGTCACCAAAGGAGTGACCGCAGAGCCCCCACCCCCACCCCCGTCCCTAGAAATGAACCGTTCCTGGGCCATGGGGATCATCTCCACAGCAGTCGGAAACACTCCTGCTACCTGCTGTGCCCAGCACCCACCTGCAGAAAAGCTCCATCAGGGAGAGTAGAAGGCAAGGCGTCCTCAGGGGCTGTGCGCATGCCCCCACAGACAGCAGGGGAAGTCTGGGCCCCCTAAGGCTCCCCACTTCAAGCACCTGCATTTGGTTGTATATAAAAGTGTTTTAAATTACCTATTAGGTAAATATCTTAACACCCCTCCACTCTCTAAGTCACCTACTTCATTTCTAAGTACAAATGATGCGCCTAGAAGGGTGGGCCATGCTGACCCCTTGTACGAGCTCCTGGCACATAGCCCCACCCGCGTAAGAAGCCCCAGATTGCAGGCACTTTCCCTGAAATGACATCTATGAGAACGAGAGGACGGGGGAGAGGGTGTTGTGGAGGTGGGCGGGACCTTTCCAGACTGCCTGCCTGTCAGAGCAGCTGCAAGACACTTCATTCAATTCAGTTCCCATTTCCTGAGAGACTTCTGGGTCCCCAGCGCTGAACTAAGGCCACGGGGCTGTGTATGCAGATCCCCAGCTACAGGTGTGGGAGCCAGGTCCTCGGGAGGGGCCCATGAGGACGGACCAGGGTGATGAGGTGGCGAGCTGGGGGGTGGGGGGAGGCGAGGGGTGAACACCAGGATGCTTATGATCACCTACTAAATAGTTCTTTTTTTTTCTAATGACAAAAACGGGCATACTCAATGCAGGAAATACAGTAATCCCAGAAAAGCTCAAAAGGCTATAAAACAAAGTCTGCAACAGCTTCCATCTTCAAATTTTCACAAGAAAGAGGAAAATAACCATTTTATAGGACAAAACTCATGCAGAAGCGAAAGTCAAGCAGCTTGGGCTCCGTATGCTAGCCTCTCTGATACTTAGAATCCCCCTCTGTTGGAATGAGCCACCACGGGAAGTGCCGAGTGCCCCAAGCAGCAGCCATAGGAACGCCCATCAGGGATGCCAGGAGGAGGTTCCAATAATGGGTGGAAGACGGTCTCAGGCTCTAAGATCACCTTCACTTGGGGGAAAGGAGCCCACCTCATGCCACCCAGATGCCCACCAGCCCTGGGTCAACTCACCCACAGGCGTGTCCTCGCTGATCAGCAGGTACGTGTCGAAGAAGTGGTTGATGAAGAAGGGCAGCCGGTTCACCTGGCCTGGAAGTCAGAGGACACAAGCGTCAGTCAAGTACCCGTCTGCCAGCTTCATGCATTCTCCAAGGGGACACGGAGTGGCTGGGCTGCAGTGGGCACTGCATCTGTCCACTGCCATGGCCGCCTTCCTCAAGGCTAATGGACCCTCAGCGAGGCCACCAGCTATGGGAGGCTATCGAGCCCTGGTCCACAGTGAGCTGTGCTGAAGTGTAAAAAGCACACAGGGTTTCAAAGACTTTGTAAGAAAAGTGAGTGTAAAATGCCTCATTCATCTTCTATATTGATTACGTGTTGAACTGATCGCATTATGGATATATCGGGTTAAGATATATTATTGAAATGAATTTCACCTGTTTCTTTTCTAATGCAGCTCCTGGAAAATGTTAAATCACACACATAACTCGCATTGTATTTCTAGTGGGCAGCCCGGCTCCAGACCAGATGGGATGTGAGCTGGCAAGGACAAGGGCGGTCTGCTTTGCTGACTGCCACAACCCTGGTGCCCAGGAAAGGGTGTGGCATCCAGAGGCCCTCTGTAAATGATGACAATAATAATAGTAGTAGTAGTAGTAGTAGTAGTAGTAGTGATGATGGTGATGAGGATGATGATGGCTGCCATCTATGGACCCCATCTCTATACCAGTCACTTATACCGTCTCCATCAATCCTCGTGGTATGGTGGGTGCCATCATAGCCCCATTTTTCTGTTGTGGAAACGAGGCTTAGAGAAGATACGTATGAACTAGCCCAGAGTCGTGCAGTTAGTAATCGGCATGGGAACCCTGGGCAGTTAAGCCTGTATGACTCTGTGACACCTCAGAGTGGGGCTGGTACCGGAAGGGGTCAGGGTGATACTGCATGGCCTGAGGAATTTCACATCCACAAAGAGCCCCCCATACCACAAGTCCCCCACCACTACCACAGAAACTCCCTGAGGCTGGCTTCCCCTGTCCCCTTCGCCCCTTCGCATGGCCTTCCACAGTGTGGCACCATACGGAATATATTTGGTGTCGGTCCCAGTTTCTGGCACAGATTCCCCAAAACCCTTGGAAGTTCTGGAATGACAGGAATGTCTTTTGACCACAGCTGAGTTTATGCGCCTGGAGGGGGCACAGAAGCTCCGAACCTCGTCCTGTGCATGTCTTCCACTTGAGGCTCCGGAGCTGTGCCCTTTACATTAAACCAGGAAATGGACGTGGGGGGTTTCCCTGAGGTCTGTGCATCGTCCTGGACAACCGAACCCAAGGAAGGGTCATGGGAACCTCCAATTTAGAGCCAGTTGGTCAAAAGTACAGGGGGCCTGGGACTTGTGACAGGCCCCTGAGAGGGGCCTCAACCTTAAATCTGTGGAAGCTGATGCGGATGTCAGGTAGTTGGTGTCAAAACTAAACGGTGAGACCCTCTGTGGGTGTGCAGAGAACTGGGTGTTGGTGTTGGAGAACAGCCAGAAGGAGGCAGGGAGGGCACATCCCTCGGCCTCTGCCGACCAGGGAGCTGATCCTTCTCGCAGGGCCATGCAGTGCAGCACCTGCCATAGCAGCTCCTGGGTGTCCAGGCGCCTTCCCTCGCACCCTCACCTCTGTTGACGTGGGCTCCCTCAGAGCTTGGGCCAGGCTCAAGAATGCTGAGGCCAACTCACAGAAGGCTGGAGTCAAGGGGGCCCTTCCCCCTCCTGCGTCCCTGAGCCTCTGTCCCATGCCTCAGTTTACGCACGTGTGAAACAGTGATAATAATAGGACTTACATCATGGCTGTCCCGAGGACTAAATGAGATTACATACATAAAGCGCTTAACGCCATGCCCCAGCACACAGCAAGCACTCGATAAGTGGTAGCTATTACTAATATTGGTATTAATAACAGGGCCGTCTGCTTGGCCAGGGGGAATGCTTTGGATCCCTGTGGGGGGCTTGGACTGAGCAAAGGTAGAAGGCTCAGGGGTGCCCAGAGATTTCGGGGCGGGCTTTGGGCTGGTTGGGGAGGGGAACCAGTGAGGAAAAGATCGCCTGCAGCTGCATCGGTTCATTTTTAAATTTGATCTTACAGGACCTGCCGATAATCAGCCGCTGAGAGCTCTGCACGGGCAGCTGGGCAGAGCGCAGGGGACATGCATCGCCTGCCACATACCAAGCAGGGCTCGTGTTCTTGGAATAGGCCAGCCACCCTCGGAGGCCTGGGGGGTGGCCCTGAGCTGCCAGCGTGGCACCTGGGGACTGGGAGGGGGCTGCTGGAGGTGGGGTGGGGGGAAAGGGGCATGCTGACAGGTCGCTCGTTCTTGTAAAGACCGCTTTTCAGGCACGAAGGCTGTGTATTCCAGAGGCAAAACCACTGCCTCAGAGCTTTGAGGCCTCCGGGGGTGGGAGTGTGAGTGGGCATATGTGCTGATGTCAGGCGAGGGGCCCTCAGCTCCACGTTAGGGGCCCTCAGGCCCAGTGCCCGGAGACTGCCTCCGTGACCCAGCGATTGCAGCGATGCTCCCTGGCCCCACCAGCAAGGAGGGGCAAGGAGGCCTGACCAGGCCTTCGCTCTGGCCTCCCATACACGCCCACGGGTGCAGAATAAGAAGTGCCTGGGAGCACAGAGGCCAGAGGAGAGAAGGGTAAGAAGGCGACAGGCTGACAAGGGGGGCTGACATCTAGGGGGCATCTGTCCCTGAGCCTGACCCACCTCTGACCACCAGGGTTGGGAGAAGAAATCAGCCAGGCCGTGGGGTCAGCTGGGAACAAAGGGGAGGTCCTGGGGTGTAGTCTGGGGGACAAGGCGAGTGCTCAGGGTTGGGGGCAGGTGTCAAAAGGGCACGGTGAGATGATGGTGCCCTTCAGTCCCTAAGGTCAGCCCCCGCCCACCATGCCGAAGGTGGGGACCAGGACGAGGAGCTGTGCCCACGATGCCAGGCAGGCTAGACCGCAGGCTGGCTGGTTTTGCCAGAGACCTGCTGGGTGGCCCCAGGCACTTACTTCACTTCTGCTTTCTGAGTCCCCTTTTGCTCCCCTTAGGAAAAGACACAGCTGATATGAAAGAGCTCCCGCTTACTTAGCACAGAACATGTGCCAGGCATCACGCTAAGTGCTGGATATGCGTGGTAACTCCTCTGACCATTTTACAACCAAGGAGCAGAGTCCTGCTGCCCCTCCTGTTTCACAGAGAAGCTAAGAAGCCACGGGACCTGGGAGCAGCGGGTGGGACCAGGAGTCCCGGCTCTGTGCTGCTGCCTCGTGCCCACTGAGGGTGCTCTGGTGCTCAGGCACACGGCCACCTCGACTGAGGAAGGCAGCTGGGCACTCAGCACCTGTTTCATTTTACATACATGCTTGGGGGATTTTACATATATGCTGGGGGGGTTACATACATGCTGGAAGGATTTTACATATATGCTGGGGGTTACATATACGCTGGGAGGTTATATATATGCTGGGGGTTACATATATGCTGGGGGATTTTACATATATGCTGGGGGTTACATATATGCTGAGGGGGATTTTACATGTATGCTGAGGGGGATTTTACATGTATGCTGGAAGGATTTTACATATATGCTGGAAGGATTTTACATATATGCTGGGGGGATTTTACATATATGCTGGGGGGCGGGGGCATGAGTGTCCAAGGTCACAGGAGGCTGAGCAAAGGTCCTGATTGCCACCCTCTAGCAAACCCAGAGGGTACCCCCCAGTAAGGTCTCCCCGGGGGAAGTAGGCGGGGGTGTGTGTGTCTTGACAAAAGCCCCTGTGAAGGATCAGAGACCTGCATCGAAGCGCAGCTGAACCCTCGATTGAGTGGCCTGGGCCAGCTGCTTCTCAAAGCATCAGTTTCTCCCCTGGAAAGTGGGCCCACAGTTGAGAGGGTCTGAGACCCCCTCCAGCTCCGCCCGGAGAGTCTCTGTGACCGTAACCTGGCTGCCGGGGTGGGAGTGAGTTCCCCATCACAGGAGCATTCCAGCAGAGACCCTCCACGCCCGGAGGCCAGGAGAGGGGACAGTCAGGGGACTTCCAGGCATCAGGACACCAGCATCACCCCAACAAGCTGAGGCTGTGGCTTCCTCCAGAGGCGCCCGGCTCCCTGGAGTGGGAGAAGGAGCTGGCCTCCCTCAGGAATGTGTTTGCCTGTCGCCAGGCACACCATGCCCACAGCTCTTCCCCAAGGACACCCTGGCCCCCAGGGACACGGTGCCAGCTGTGCCTGCTGTCCTGGCCTTCCTTCAGATCAGACCAGAGCTGTTTGGTCCTGGGGGCCAGGACAGGCAAATGCCCTGGCCTCCTCGGTGGGCATTAGCGCGGGCCCTGACCCGGGAGGAGGGGAAGGAGGGCTGGTCCTCCCGGCAGAGAGAAGCAGCCCCTCACCTCCACGCCTTTGCTCAGGCGGTCCCCACCTGCAGGAGTCCCTTCTTCCCACTCCCCTATTTTAAAACTCTCTCAGTCCTTAAAGCGCAGAGTAAGTGTCTCCCTTCTGGCTGAGTGTCTGCTATCCCCGCAGGCCCGATTAATCTTTCCTTCAGACGGGCTTCTCTGTCCTTTATTCCCACTCTCTTCACCTGCAGCAGAGGAAGTCCTAGCGTTGCTAGTAAATCTGCTAGGCTCTGAACTCCTTGAGAATGAGTCGTTTCTTCCACGCCCCAGAGTTGGGCACAGGTGACACACATAGTAGGTGCTCAAAAGGCAGCTGGAAAACTGAACAGACTGGGCCGAAGAAGGACGGTTTATGGTCACAGATGCCTCCTTCCCTTAAAGCTCAAGTATTTCTCAAGGCTCCTCCCACCGCCTCCAGTGGCCCAGGCCCTGGGGGTGGGTATTTTCAGCCCTGAGAGTGCTGCAGAGCAACCCAGGCCCAGGGAGGGAAGTGTGTACCCGGTCACACTGCAAGGCGGGATCTCCGGGGTCCCAGAGCAGTCCCCTCTGGATTCCTGCCCCAAAGTGCCAACCCCACAGCCGGCCCCCACACCCTGCAGCCCTGGCTTCCCATGCCTGCCGTGGGGGAAAGGACTAAACTTACCCCAGCATCCAGAGATCAGCACAAACAGCCATACCACCTGGCAGCTGGTGGCAACGTGGCACCTCATGGCTCCTGGGGACACAAGAAGGAGGGCATGAGAAGCAGCCGAGTGGTGGGGGCCTATTCTTCAAGACCCTCGAGCACTTCCCACCCCTGCAGCTCCAGGGAGAAGGGAAAAGAGGGAGTCAACTCAAATGGGGGCGGGGGCAGGAGTGGGGACTCGGAAAAGAGAGGGTCTGCATCGTTGATTTGATCATCGTCCAACCCTGGGTGTAACACAGCGGCCTGGGCGAGACTGGGCTGGGGTGGGGGCAATAGGCCCTCCTTGCCCTTGGGGGTGGCTGCTCAGCCATGGGTGAGGCTCAGCAGTGGGCATGGGATCCTGACATGTTCTGGGCTCAGTGGGTGGAAGGAGGAGCCGCCACCTCCATCCTCCAGGGCAGCATCCGGGTGAGTGATGGAGTCTGGTTAGTTTGGGGACGGGCTAGGAGGCGGGTGCTGGGCAGGAAGACAGGCGTCTGTGAGGGGCTTGTCAGGCCCACTGCCCGCCTCTCTCCAGCCTAAGACCCTGGCAAGCATGTTTTTTCATGTTGTGTGTAGTTTTTTAAATAGCCACCATATCACCCCAAAACATTAGTTCTGAAAGGGGGCAGCAAGTTAGGGGTCCAAAAAGCACAGGGAGGAAAGATGACCTGCCTAGGGACTCACAGGAAACGTGGGAAGCTGGAGCTGAAACTGTGGGGGCTCAGAGCAAAGCGCCAGAGATCTGGGGCCCACCTACCACAGGCTCAGCAAGGCAGGTCCCAGGTCTCAGAGTGGCGGGAAGGGTGGGCTGCTCCTCCCCACCCCTCACAGGCTCAGGAGCCGGCCTCCCTGGAGACCAGCCGTGAACGGGGAGGGGCCTGCTCCTCCGCTGGTACTCCCTGCCTCCTCCGAACCCTCACCCTGCGTGCAGGAACCTGGCCCGGCACCTCTGTATCCCCTGCAGGGCCTGTCCAAGGGCCCCCACAGCATCCTGCAGGGAGCACATACTGGGCGCCGCCTGGGTAGATTTGCCGTCCCTGCTCCACAGGCAGGGTCTGGAAGCTGAGAGCCATTAAACAATTCGCTCAGAGACCCCCAACTAGTGATGGGGTTCAGCATCTGGACCCAAGTTGACATGCCACCTCCCTCCTCAGTAAGGGACCGGGAAGGACATGGGGAGGGGAAGGGAGCTGAAAGGAAGGAGTTTTTTGGAGATTCTTCCACATCCTGGCAAGATGTAGGGACGAGAGGTTCAGGAAAGGCCAGGGGCAGATCCCTTATTCCACACCTGGAGTGGTCTCTCTCCCAGCGGAGTGGACAGCGCAGTGACCCCCCCAGGTGGTTCCTGACCCACACAACATGCAGTGGCCCGCGGCACCTTCGTTTCCCTTCTAATACTGTACTTACAATGTCCCAACCACTAGGTCTGAAGCGGTCATTAGAAGAGTAAAAGATTCTTCCATCGCTTTGCTTTCCTGGACCCCACCCCACTCCCGTAAGTTTCCAAATGTCAACAGCCTATCCCAGGGTGCAAACCACAGTCTATAGGCACGCAGGGCTGAGGTGCCTATAGGCAGGGGCTATAAATGAGGGAGACTTTGAGGTGGGGAAGGTGGCTGGGGACACTGGCCTTTCCGAAGCCACATGCTCTGTCAAAAGTGGCAGCTGGAAATTCGGGCTTTTATATGAATTCCATTTTTAAATGTTAACAAATAATTCCGTTTTGGAGAGCCAAACGTGACTGGTTTGATGGCCAGCATGGCAGGTCGGGCCTGGCATGCTTCCTCCAGGCCTTGCTGTGCACCCAGGCAGGTATGTTCAATTACACACGTGTCCAGAGCGCGGTGGCTGCTGCTCAGCTTTAGAATAATGGACTCGCCACGCACAAAAGCAACTTGCTTTTCTCATGTCATAACTTTCACAGAAAACCCCCCGGGTCAACATTGCTATATCTACCTCCTCCTTTTTTTCGTTGTTATCCTCACCTGAGGATCTTTTTTACATTGCTTTTCTGGAGAGAGCGAAAGGGAGGTAGGGAGGGAGACAGCGAGAGAGAGAGAAACATCGATGTGAGAGAGACACGTCGACTGGTTGCCTCCCACATGCGCCCTGACCTGGGGGCAGGGGAAGCGAACCAGCAACCCAGGTACATGCCCTTGACTGGGAATTGAACCCGCAACCCTTCAGTGCACAGGCCGGTGCTCTAACCATTTAGCAACACCAGCCAGGGCATCTACCTCCTTTTCAGAGCTAAATAATAGTCCCTAGTGTGATGTACCGCTTTGGAGACATCTCCTACTGTTGGGCACTTGGAAGTTTCCAGGCTCCTGCCACCATAGACACCACCACAGTGAATATCTCTGCATAAAATGGCCTTGAGACTTTGATAGCTCTTTTTTCCCTCCTGTTTTACTGAAAGGAGGCTTTGGTTTTCATTTATTGATGTTTAAAATAATTTTTATTTTTCAATTACAGTTAACATGCAGTATATTAGTTTCAGGTGTACGGTGCAGAGATTGGACATTTATATAACTTACAAAGCGATCATCCTGATAACCGTAGTACCCAGGGACCTGGGTGGCTCTCAAACCTGGTTCAAGGACTCAAAATGCTGACATTTCCTGAGCACATGTTACATTCCAGGCACTGTGAGGCACTGTGATACATGGTGTAGCCTACGCGCTAGGACTCAGAGAGGTTAAATAACTGTCCAAGGTCACATAGCTAATCAGCGGTCAAGTCTGGATTTGAACCCCATTCTGAGCCAGGCCTGGCCACACTGCACATGTCTGCTCTGACGTTTTGCTGTGGGCCAGGCACTGTGCTAGACACCAGAGGTCAGAAGAAAACTGAAGACCTGCTATGGGGCTGACACTCCGGGAAAGACCAGCACTGACAGTGTACCAGCAGGTGAGCAAGTCTGACCGAGTATTCGGGAGGATGAGTGCAAGGAGAGGAAAGGAGCAGGGTGAGAGTGGTCTGAGTGTCACAAAAGGTGACAAATAAAGAAACTCTTGAGGAATCAGAAAAGTGAGCCATGTGGATCTCTGGGAGAAACTCCTTCCAAGCAGAGGGGACAGCCCGTGCAAAGGCCCTGAGACAAGAGTATGCTAGCATGCATGAGGAACAGAGGAGCCAGAATAGTTGCAATGGGGTGCACGGTGAGGAGAGTTGCAAGAAATGAGGACAGAGAGACAACAGGCCCATGATGGCCACTGGAAACCACTGATGTGCATTAACGGGGAGTCATGGTCTTCAGACAGCCAGGAGCGATATGAATGAGTCACGTGTAAGGGAGCTCGCTGGCTGCTGTTTCGAGGACTCACTGGAGGGGGCAAGGGCAGAAGCAGGCAGGCAGGTGGAGAGGCTACCACAGTGATGTGGGCCAGTGATGACTGGTGGCTGTAGCCAGGCACATGGGCACATGGTGCGGGGTCTGGCAGATTCTGGACATATTTCAAGGTAGATCTGAGAGAGTTTCCTATTGAAGAGGATGTGGCTGTGCTAAGAAAGAACCAGGCCTGAGGGTTTGGCCCCAGCACATAGGAGAATGAATGGAGCTGCCATTAACCAGGATGGGAGAAGGCTGCGGGAAGAACTGGCCCAGGGGCCAGATCAGAAGTTCAGTTTGGGACATGGTGACGTCAGGCCTGAGGTGGGGCTGGAGCCGTAAAGGTGGGCGTCATCAGCATGTGAGGGTTCTTAGAGCCTCCAGAGGGACAAGCGTCCCAAGCCTCCCACACCCCGAAGTCTGAGAACCAATCAGTGTTTGAAAATTGTATGAAGAGCCTCAAAATGTGCACACCACTGTGGCCCATCCACTCCGCTTCCGGGATGGTGGCTGCGGAAATCCTATGTCTGCATGGACTCTGAGCCACAGAAATGTTCGCTGCTGCATTAGTTATGACAGTGGAACGGCCCAGGCGCCCGGCAGGGGCCTGGTTCGTGGTGGGACGCCCACAGGAAGCAAACAGAGGCTTGTGGATGGATATGCACATGTGTGAATGGAGGGGCGGGGGGCATCTACAGGGCTATTCTGGGAAACTGATTTTCTCTGCATGGTGAGGTACAGCTGATTTTACTCTCTGCATTTTCCAAATGCTCAATAATAAACAGCCAATGTTTTTACAGAGGCCTAGCTTATGTCCACCTGACCAACACACTGCCAGCAGCCAGTGAACAGGTAACGGCTCTAACTAGAAAGTTCTTTCCTATACTCCGCTCAAGTCCACAGTCCCAGGTTTGAATCCTCCAGATAATGGAGGTCCCCAGTGGCCCCTGGCTAACTGCACCCCTAGGCTGTTACCCAGATCCTTCTAAGGACAGGGAGCTCCCTCCCTCCCAGGCAGTGGGTCCCAGGCCAGGGCCCTGCTCTCTGCCCTGTCCGCCCAGCCATGCTCCCTTCCCACATGGAGAGCAGGAGGTCTGACTGTGCCCATCACCAGGAGGACTTCCCTGTGCTCCACCCATGAGGATCCATGGGCAGCACAATGGGTGAGAACAAGGCCTTGGAGATGAGGCCGTCTGAGGCGCAGCCCTGCACTCAGGGCTCTCCTTTCCCTGGAGGACTAACAGTTTAACAGACCGGGTGCCCACCCAGCCAGTGTGGCTCTGTGCTTGAGTGCTGACCTATGAACCAGTAGATCACGGTTCAATTCCAGGTCAGGGCACATGCCCAGGCTGCAGGCTAGATTCCCCAGTAGGGGTGTGCAGGAGGCAGCCGATCAACGATTCTTTCTCATCATTTCTATCTCTTACTCCTTCTCCCTTCCTCTCTGAAATCAATAAAAATGTATTTTAAAAAAGTAAGTAAATAAAAGACAGTGTGCTCAAGTGGTTATAGACACAAACTGGGCCCTGAGCCCCTGCAGGTGATGTGTCCACAAGGTGCCCCCTGCCCAGCTGGGTCCCCAGCCCAACCTTGGGGAGCCCCTCCTGCCTGTCCCTATTCCTTTTCCCCAGGCTGGAGGAGGCAAAGCCCCTCCTGACCCTCAGGGTTTGACCAAATGCTTCTGGACCAAACCCAAAATGGAGCCCGTGGCA